GTCACTTGGTAACGGTTCTGTTTATTTAGATGTCAATTGTACAGTTATTTATTAGAGGAAATAATAATAAGAGAAGTGAAGATATCGCCCTCCTTGTCATAATAAACCTAAACTTCTTTTTTGCTAATAAAAAAATGTAAATTACGCTGCTTTTTATAATTATTAATACAAAGATCGAGCACTCAGAAAAAACTCATTCGATCCGGCCGGATTCGAACCGACGTCTTCTAGCATACTGTGCCAGACGCTATACCAACTAAGCCACGGAACGAATCAGCCGACCTCACGAATTTTTCTATGTGCTTCTTGTTATATCTTTGTATTTGATTTTTCAACGACTTTTTAGCCGCTGATTTAGCTTAACAATAAAACTGACACTAAATAAGATACAACAAAACCGCTTATAGGGTGTTGTAGAGTTAGTTTTGCTGATTCTAGATATGCCAATAACTCAGTTACTCCAAAATGTCGATTACGTCAGTTATGATAAGGAGAACATACATGAGTCACCAATAGTACCTTGTCTAAACAAGAAAAGTAATTTTCTGATTGTTATTATTGAAAGAAAAAATTTCATTAATGTATTATAATGCCCAATTGGCCGGGCATATTGAAACTATACTTATTAACTGACTTCAAAAATGGAGGATTTGTGAAGCGATTTTGATGACTCTTTTTTTGTTGGAAAGAGGGTACCTTGGTAGTGGTCCCATTTAAATTCAAAGAAAATATTCCATATGTAAGGGTGGCAAAGTAGGGGATGCTTCAAATTTCGCACACTTTGGCTGCCTTTGTGGTCGAGTGGCTCGCACACCAGTTATCATGTCGGTCGCCATCTCTGAGGTCCCGGGTTCGAACCTCGGCCGGGTCAGTGTAGAAAACTAACTTTTCTATATTGTCTCGGGTCTGGGTGTTTGTGGTACCGTCGTTGTTTCCGATTTCCATAATACTTTGGGATCAGAGCAACGTATGTGGTGTGAGGTAACCGATTTCAACAAAACTTGGCAAATAGATATAACTCCATCAACTTTTGAGGTCGGTTTTTTAATACCAGAGTACTCCGAGTACAGATACTGAGATTTTTTGTTAACGTTGACTTCTACGCATAATGATAAAGAAGAAGTTTATACATCGACTTGGTTTTCGCGATTTTTACACATAGGAAATGAAACTATTTTTTCGGATCTCAAAATCATCGTTAATAATTAAAGAGTCGCCGGACTAAAGCAAATAAGTCAAAATTCAACGACATTTAAATTAATACATCTACCGTCTAAAGTACATAAGTAAAATTTGTTACTTCATAAATTTGGAACTTTATTTTAGAGGCGTCTTTTTCAATTTTATCATTCTCTTCATATCTCCAAACACTATAAACAACAAAAAAAAATTATTATATATTAACAAATGCACTTTTTTAACTTGTGTGCTTTAATCCGCCGACCCTAGAATTAAGAGCCAGACTCTTGTCGGCGTAGCCTCCTCCATTCATCACTGTTCATAGTCAATTCCTTGACCTCTTTACAGCTGTTCACTTTGATCTTCTTTTTTCCTTTCCCTTTTATTCTCCCCTCAATTATCACACATTTGTTACTACGTTACAAATCGTCGCCTTTCTCAAATTCGTATCTTAAAGCACAAAGTTACTGAAGTGCAAAAAATGGATTGCATATACAAATTTTGCAGCCTGATTTCACATCATATTTCCTCCATATTCGCACGACTGGCTTTTTACCCATTCCTAAAGTAATGCGTTTAAATTAAGCCCTTGATAATAAATTTATAATAAATATACAGTATTGCAATCTCTTTATTTATTGAAAAGTTTTCTCTCCTCCCAACGCTTTCCAAAACTTCCTCATTCGATCTCTTTTTAATTAATTTTATTTTATTCCATTCTTGCAACACATTTCAAATGACTCCGATCTCACTCTGTCTTTGTTTATTGTTCTCCACGTCTCGCATCCATACAGTGCGGTACTCTAGGCATAGGTTTTGATGATTTGACATTTGTTTTTTTTTTCAAACTAACCATCTTTTTATAGGTTTTGTAGGTTTGTTTGAAAAAACAAAAATACACGTGATTTTGATCCGAAAAAATTGTTTAATTTCGAAGCTTATAGTTTTTTTTCTCATTTTACTCATATTATTATGCTTGACTTAAAATGTAGTAATATTTAAAATATGGCAATAGAAAAGTTCAGAGTAAAGTTCAGAAAAAAAAACAAGGTGTTGTCAGCGACTTGTGCCAGAATGCGCTATAAAAGAGGGTTATGTTTTCCTTACATGGCGGCCTAAATAACCAGACTCGTTACAAACGATTGCATACAAAACTGGAATGCCAAACGCACACTGCCAGGCGAGTATGCAAAGCGATCTGACGCAACGCGTTGCGAAAAAACAAAAAGAAAATAATTGCGCAATTACAGATGACACCGATTTAAGGCATTTACATCCTATTTTCTAATGACTATTTTTATTATTTTAACAGCTAATTAGATTGGCATTCTAAAATCGACCCTTGAAGCTCTGTTATAGGAATTAAAAAAAATAAAAGTTTTTTAATTTCTTATCTGTGGCAACTAATCTTGAAACATCTAACATCTAGTACAACAAGCTACTTTGTAAGTACGCCTATAAATTACTCTAATTATCTATATAAAACTTTTATAAATGTATACAATGTTTCAATTTTATAGTGATTTTTTTAACCATCATTTTTTTCCAACATCGAACCAAACTACGGGGTAAGCTTGATAACATGTAACAACAAGCATTATTATTAACTATTTTTCAAAATTACGTGCTAAAAAACATTTTTTTTCTCATCGAAATAAAATATTTTGCATTATTTTTGTTGGCAAAATTTTTCCAAAACCTGATCCAGTAGATTTGTGACAGTTTTTTTTCCTAAAATTGACCAACCATAATACACGCCATCTTATTCATACTTTTTTTTCCCCTTATTTTTAACAAGTAATTTAGAATATTATGCGACTAGTCGGTATTAAGCATTTTGTTGAAATAAAAACTGTTTTTTTTTTAATTTGTTCCAGTAAATATATGCAAGAATTTTTTAAAAAGTTGTGAAACGTACCATAATTATTGTTTTCGAATCGAATTTTGGCAGTTATATATTTTTTTATATAGTTTTTTGTCACTTAATGATGGCGATTTTGTCATAGCAATGAGCAAGCAATCTGTGAATAGTAATTTGAACAAAAACAATTTTAGTGAGCAAAAGTACTTAATTTAAACATTTTCAAGTAGTGCAAAATGGCAAAAAATAATCACAGAATGGAAAAGTTTCTTTTTTTAAATATAAAAAAAAGAAAATACGATTTGTGCGATGTGATCCGACATTTCTCGTAATATGACATCTACGATTTAACATTTATTTTATATTCTAACAATTTTATTAAACTTCTTAACATTGATCGACCAACTTTTTTTATTATTAATAAATGATAATAAAACGTCAACTTATACATTTGAGAAGAAAAACATAATTTTGAAATATTACCAGAGAGGATGAAATTGCAAAAATAAAAAAAAATTTAACATTTTGTCAGCTGAAGGAACCATTTTCAAAAAAAAAAACAATGAAATTTGTCTATAAGTTATTGTACAATCGATGCCCTAAGATATTTGACCCCCTAACCGACCATTTTGTTCTGAGTAGACAAATGTGAAGAAAAATGTTAAACAAACATCATCTTTAAACCAGAATGCACCATTCGTGAATGACGTATACTTACTTAAATAATTTCAACCATGGAATTCTTTAACACTTTTCTGTAAAATGCATAAGGGTACGTTCCCACGGCCCGTGATATCAAACGCGGCGATTTGTACGGGCGAGCTCGCGAAACGGATAAGTCCGGACGGCCTCGGGTCGTCGAGTTTGTATCGAGAGCTAGGCCGCCTTTGAAGTTAGAGACCGGCGGCGGATCCGAACAAGTCGCACGAGTAAGCATGGGCGCGTTCGGTGGATCCTCTTTCCACTGCGCGTTTACGCGAAATGCGCGGTGCGGGTCACAAAACAGACCATGGGCCGTGTGAAGCCGCCTTTAGAAGGTTCTCAGAATCAAAAGGTCCGCTAAGGGCTCAGGTATTCTAAGGTATACACTGTACAGTAAAATTTGAAAATGAATTTAAGATTAACCGTAAGTGTATATGACAAGTAAGAACAAACACTAAAATCAATTTTTGCTTTAATTCGATGTTCTATTAAGTGTTAGTAATAAACGAATAAAGATTACAGTTTTGTTAAAAAAATACATATAAATAATAATTTCCTTGTCACGTACCTATGTAAAATAAAGTTGTTTAATTGCTCTCGTTTTCGGGAAAATTTAAAAAAACAAAAAAAATTATAAAAGCGTGTCGTCATAGATCGGGGAAAGTTAGAGACAGAAGACTCCGTTCGTCGTATTTAACTTTCAGTCTTATGACGCTTGTGACGTTTTATCATTTTCTTTTTAAATTTATTTTATAATCTGGTCTCAAACTTGAGAATACCTCGTACAAGTACGAGAGCTAACTAAAAACTTCAATGGCACTACCCAGAATACTCAATCTGAAACAATTTACAAAAGCCCGTTTCCCAGAACTTTCACAAATTTGTTAATTGAGAATCTATCCCTGAACCTCTTTTAACTAATCATGAAAATGTCGAAGTTCTTTCACATCTACTATACAGTATATATACACGTAGCAAAATTCTTCCTAAACCGTTTTTGAATTAATTATTAATCCAAAGATCGAAGACTAAGAAAAATGTCCTGCAGGGTTCGAACCAGCGCCTTCAGCATACCGTGTGTGACGCTCTTTTAACTAAGCTACGGAACGAACCAGCAGAACTTGCGAATTTTTCTATGTGCTTGTTTCAGATCTTTGTTTTTAGATTTTAACGCCTTTTTTGCCGTAAAATATTTTTCTTTTTTTGAATTTGTTAATACAATACCGGAACCTGCAATAAAGTTTTGGGTTCCAATGAATAACTTCGAAAAAACGGATTTGAATTTTTACTCCGTGTATATATTTCACTGACGGCCATTTGTAATTCGCGCTGCTCATAACCTTTTTTAGTGATAGTGAACGTGTGCCTGACAATTCTCGTACTTTAATGGCGAAAGACAAGAATGAACTGCCTCAAGTTTTTGTTACATTATATCCAGAATTTGAGGATGTCCACATGTCCAAGTCCTGCCTGTCACCCAGTCTCCAAAGAACAATTAACTCAAACTTGAGATTTACTCAGGTTTGAGGCGGTGCCACTGGACGATCGTCTGCCGCGGCTTCGTGATCATGTCCTGCCAGTGTTTTGTTTCCGTCGCACCGGAGCCATTTTTACCTGGAACGCCAAAATGGACAAACTTTAATTTCTGTATATAATATTTATTCAGTGAAAAATGTCATTTCGAGTTCACTCCAACTAGGAAGTCCTGTAGTGCTTTTCCCCTTGGTACAAGCAATGTACAGGCCAGTGTGTGTGTGAGAGAGAGAGAGAGAGAGAGAGAGAGAGAGAGAGAGAGAGAGAGAGTGTGTGTGTGTGTGCGTGTTTGCAAATTTGACCAACTTTTTTGTAATTGGAAAACATTTTTTTATGATACCAAGTTATAGAACGAACACGTACGAGTAGTTCACCTAGTGGTAAGCGACACGCCTACCGATTGCAGTTACAGTGCCACTCAGAGCTTTAAATCACAAAGCTCTGAGGGGCACTGCCACTACGCCCGTTACTTTGAGACATAAGTTGATAAATCCCATGTGCCTGTAATTTCACCAGAACCATTCATGAGACTTGAACCCACGACCATACTGCAAAGTAGTATTGCTCTTATTAACTGAGCTATGGGTCAAGTAATCGAGTTAAAAGAAAGAATTTTTTTTCTGTGTTCAATCTTTGTATCGTCATAATAAAAACTAATGCAGTTATTTCACAAAAATATCAATAACGCATAATGTATTATCATTATTTATTTTTAAGCATTGACTACAAAGCCATCAGCTTAAAACGTAGTAAATTATTAAGAAATTGAAAACATAGTGTACTAAAAATAAACATTAATTCTTATAAAAAAAGGTAACTACAAAAACCCTATATTCTTGCACCATAGTTAAACGCAAAATAAGTAATATCACAGACAATATATATTTTCTAATTCTCACAATTACGTACACATCGTGATTAATGAATTTCCTACGTATTTTACCGACTTACGCCGACAAAGAGTTGTTTCCTCTATGACAAAACCAACCTGTCTCAACATGTATAATATTAATTAATATATTTTTTACTTTTTCTAATATACATCGTCCCCTCTTCAGTCTTTTACTATTTCCTCACATTGTGTGAGAAAAGCACTATACATGCCTCGGCGGGAACAGCGATTGCTTCACTCGTATAAATACAATTAATACTTGTAACTGATATTCGTCCGGCAATCCCTTACTTCCGGGCCTCTTCAATAATGTACTAAATTTAGTGATCAGAAAAAATAGTTTCAATTCCAATATATTTCTATTTCCACCTTTACATCGTATCCAAGTTATGACTTGGATACGATGTAACCATAATGATCTATAAAACCTTAGGTTTAAACGTAAGAGCTACTAAAAACTTTAGAAGACCTTCACTTTCATTAACCTCTTCAACAGTCTTTAAAGAAGTTTGCTTGAGTACAGCTGTGTTATATAGTTCTCTTATTACGAATTGTACTCCAACCGCATAGAAAGAGACTCTTAAAATTTTCGCATTCCGATCGGGTCTGGGTCGCACCCTTGCAACTTGCCAAGAGAGGTTGACCAAGTTTGAAATTTGAAAATAAAATATTGTTGTCTTGAATAAGCTGATACACGGTAACCTTGTTTCTCTTAGTCTGCTATCTCACATTAACTTTAACATTAAGAATAGAATAGAATAGAATTATTAACTTCGGACCATGATCCATAATAATGTCAGAATACAGTAAATTTTTCTTACGTGTTATGGTTAGTACAATACAAAATTACTTAATTATAGTGAAATGTCACGCCTAGACCACTACCCTACGCACGTGTAGTTGCACCCAATGTAGTTGGTAGGGGCAGTCCAGCCTGTTGGCAACAATAGCTGGGACGCTATTAGCGCTGCCGCGCACACGCATCATGAGTGAGGCAGCCTACTTGCGCATAATGTCATGAAAGCCATCTGTGTGCGCCTCCGTGAACATGCTATTTACTACAGTGTCGCGGCAGCCCCATTAGCATCCTAAAAGCGTTGTTATATTGCACCCTTAATGTATTCAGGGTTCTCTGCGTATATTTCACCCAAAAGCATTAAACCTAATCGTTGTCGTCCTTTGTGTTAAATGTCTATCGAAATAATACATCCTTTTATAACCCTGTGACTAGAATGTGCCGAGCCTACAACAATGATATACTAACATCAGAATATTGAGGTCACATTGATGTTTTCGACAACAATCTTTGTAGAATTCGCACTAATCTCCGCAAATATATCAACTCGTCTTCTCATTAGTACTGCCAAATCAATACCTATGTGAATGTTTAATCGCATTACTTTTAAGTTTGTAATCTCACTTTTCCCTCTTTTTTTGTAATCCTTATGTAAATTTACGTTTACCCTTCGCATAATAATGCTGTATGTACAAGTAAGTCTACATTCCAGATTAAGACTATACATTGTATCTCAAACATGTTCCACTGAATGTAAACTGTTTAGTACATACCCTAAAATAAAAAATAAAATTATTCATTACTTACCGGCAAGAAGTATCCTTCCAATAAGTTCATTTCTCCCAATATTATCGAAGTCCATAACTTGGACGTCCAAGGAACACTCGCGTATCTTCTCCCAGGGCACATTGAACGAGAAGGAATCGTTGAAGACAGGGTTCAATGTGCATTTGAAGATAGCTGTCTTGCGCTTCTCTATGCGCTTATCACCAAACTGCAGCCACACTTTTACGTAGGGATCTGGAATTCGAGAGAATATTATCTATTTAATAATTGTTTATTTCAAACCGTAGACCTTAGCAGGAAAATATTATGTATAATTTAAAATCAAATAACTTATAGAAAAAAAAATCAAATGATTTAAATTGTGACGTGTCGAACCGGGCGCGACTCGCCACCTAAATCCTTACACTTAGATATTTTGTTCGATTGTGATCAAATTTTCGATTCACTGATTGATTACTTTAATTGAATGAACCGATCCGTACAGCCTTATGCAACCATAGACTATTCACAAATATATATTTGAGAAATAAAGTCACTTTTGATTTTTCCTTCCTCTAAGCCTTAGACTATGGATTTTTTTCCATTCTCTAAGCTCTAAGCTTTTGCCTAACATTTTTCAAACAAGATTAGCATCTGCTGGAAAAAGTGATGAGATATCAAGTCGATATCTTCAAAATATACGTGAAATTGTTACTTATTCCATTTATTGAGTGATTGCTTTAGAATTTTAGCCAAGCGGTTTTATTTTTCTGGCACAATGGCTTGGAACAGAATTTAGAAATATAATAAACCTTTATAATACAAAGTAATTCATGAAAAACGAAACAGGAGGTCCCAAAAGAAAAGCGGAGCAATAATTCAAGAGTCCAATTTCAATTTAATTGGATCTTGGAGCCAGTCATGATTTATGAAGCCTCACCCAAACGCTGGTTTATATTAAGAAAAGCTCTTTTTCAGGTTAAGGGAATGTTTCGGATTTGAAGGATTTATAGGAAACAAAAGTTAAACAACAAACTAATTCGAGTTATAAGAATTTTTTAGGTCAGGGTGAAAAGTAGGGCGCTTTTTGTCTCGCTGCATTGTCGCGTCCCGGGAAAAACAATCGAGACTTTTAGAACGTCTCGAAAATTCCAGGAAAAACTTTTTTTAATAAACTTTAAAAGAAAGGAGGACGTCCTTAATTCGACTATATTTTTTTGTATGTATGTTAAGGGATAACTCCGGTATTTGTGAACCGATTTTTAAGATTCTTTTTTGTTGGAAAGAGGGTACCTCATTATTGGTCCCGTTCAAATTTGAAGAAAGTATTCCACCTCTAAGGGTGGGAAACTAGGGGATGAATTCAGTTTCGCGCACTTTCCGGTAACTGATTTCAATAAGAAATATTTGTGTGGCTTACATTTATTTCTCTCGTGAGTTTTTGTGTAATTTGTGGTTGTCTATGTGTGGCATCCGCGACACAGGGTTTCCCTAGGGCTATGAGAGTGTGCTGCACCCACAATACGAAACGTTGGGTCGCCGAGGTCGTCAAAATATCAATTTTGGTTCCACATATATTTTTGAAATTGAGCTAAGCGAGAACCATCCTATGCTCCATGGGAATTAAGCAAATATCCCAACAGTTTTTATGTATCAAGAAAGAAACGAAGTTTTTGTTACTGTTCGTTTCGTGTTTGTGTTCTATCAATGTTCAAGAATAAAAATGTCTTTTAGTATAATATACATATAATGCCTAAATTCCGTTAAGAGCAATAATTCTAATGGTAACCTTGTTTTTCGTAAATTGCCAGGCGCTTTAATTTTTTCAATAAATTTTAAGCAACGAGTAGATAGATAGAACATACAAAAAAAGTTTGCGATCAATAGCATAAGCTCCTATAATTCTTTAAATTTAACTTTATCAAGAAAAAATCTATGTTGTATGCTTTCTTTAAATAGGAATACCCTGTTTGAAATTAAAATATAAAACTATTTTTTATTATTTATTTTAAAAAATTGAGCCATTAATCATAATGTAATAGTGATAGAAATTTCATAGAAAGAAAAAGACTGTTTAATTAAACTTAAACAACTATTTATTATTAAAAGGTGTGAATTCAATACAAAATAACTCCTCCCCTGGCTCGAATACATGCGAAGATCCTCCTGGGCATGCTGAGGATCAAGTTATCCAGCATTTCCTGGGGTAACCTATCCCATTCTTCAATAGCGGCTTCCCTGAGCTCTGGAACTGTCTGGGGACGTGGCTCACGGTTCCATACTGCTCGCTTAAGAGCATCCCACGCGTGCTCTATTGGGTTTAAGTCGGGCGAGCCGGCAGGCCAGTCTAATCGTGTGATATCGTATTCTTGAAGAGCAGCATTGACTCGTTGAGCTCGATGTGCGGCCGCATTATCATCGACCAGTACAAATTGGTGCCCATGGTTTACTCGGAATGGTCTGACGATATCATCAATAGCAACTGCTTTGTACATGTCTGCTGTCATGAAGTCCCGATACGGGATCAAAGGCGTTCTAGCTCCAATCATAATGCCATCCCAAAAGGACACCGATTTTCCGCCTTGCTGAACTGTTCCAGTGGCAGTTCTTTGTCTTTCACGGTCGCCTGGTCTTCTCCAGACACGGACACGTCGGTTATCTGGACGAGTGCTGATTCGGGATTCGTCAACGAAGAGACAGTTTTGCCAAATGTTTTCGTCCTCACCTTCTTCATTTTGCCGAAGTCTAGCCCACTGCAATCTTCGTTGTTGACGTTGCCGGGAATTGAGCGAAGCTCGCCAAGACCTCCGTGCTCGTAATCCAGCCTGGTGCAAGTAATTGCGAACGGTCTGCGTGCTAACTTCAAGCCCAGAGGCGGCCCTGACTTCTGCTTTTATTTTAGTGGCGTTGATTGTTGGATCACGGGCTGCCAGCAATCTAATATAGCGCTTTTGGGCAGCTGTCAAAACAGTTGGGCGACCGCTGCGGGGTCGGTCAGCTAAATTCCCCATTCCGTGATACCTCTGCAACGTAGCCACGACACAGGATTGGGATATAGCAAGTCTGCGTGCTATTACTCTCGTGGTGTATCTTTCTTCCCTCAAAGTTACTATTCTAGCTCGTAAAACCTCTGATAATCCTCTTGGCATTTTTTCAATCACAACTTTCCGCGAAAAATATCTTGAATCCATTTGAATCGCTTATAATTGACAAAATCAGATTTCTGAATGAGCGTAAGCTAGGACTGAAAGCCTTTTTATATGAAAAAACAATTGAACGGGGTCATTGTTTTATGTTCTAATTTATTTTTAAATAAAGAATCTAAAAAGAAGAAAAAAATGATAATATAATCTACAGTAACAAAAAAGATTTCAGTTTTTCGAAGTGATCGCAAACTTTTTTTGATGTGTGTATGTATCGACTTTCCATAAGCATACACAATAATATGTAATAATAAGTAAGAAAAAAAGAAAAAACTTACAAAACAAAACAAACAAAACAGTCTCAGTACAGAGTATTAAAAAAACCGACCTCAAAAGTACGTGGAATTACATCTATTTGCCAAGTTTTATTGAAATATCCCCTAGTTCGCCACTATACAGGACTTGATACAGGAGATAATAAAAACCGGTTCTCACTACTCAAAGTATATTGAGAGAGAAAAACGCCTTGAATTGGAGAATAGCAAAACCAACCATTAAAATAATTGCTCCTAAAGTAAAATTTAGGCGCTATAGGTGATCAGCCACCCTTAGATGTAGATGATTTTCTTCTAAATGAAATGGGACCACTATGGAGGTACCCTCTTTCCAACAAAAAAATCATGAAAATCGATTTACAAATACCGGAGTTATCGCATAACATACAAAAAAAAACATACAGTCGAATTGAGAACCTCCTCCTGTTTTTAAAGTCGGTTAAAAAAAGGAAGGAATTCAAATAAATATAATAATCTGCTTATGAATAAATAGCAAGCAACGCATTGATTTTCAGTCAGAGTACTCTCGTGTTAATTCGGGTTATAAAGATATGAATTTAATCGCACAAATTGAATTAAATTTACATAGGTTTCGTTATAGTCACGCATGTTTAATTATACCCGAAACCAAATGACAATATGGCGGCGGCAGCGCCTTCTCGACTGTACCTCGACTCTAGTGTATGAGCCACAGAACAATAAATAGAGTAGAAATGGTTAGTTAGCGTCCGACGCGTGTCTGGGGGTCTACTCTCGATCTCCTTCCGAAATCCGTCCGAAACAATTACTGTCAAATAAGTAATATTCGACAAAATTAAAAGACGAGTATCAAGTATTCATTCGCATCACGCGTCTTTTCATTTGGTCAAGTATTGCTTATTTGGCAGTAATTGTTTCGGACGGATGTCGGACGGAGATCGAGAGTAGACCCCTTGGAAAGACCTACTGAAGCTTATTTACCCATTTTCGCTTTGAATGGCATGATTGCGTCATTCTTTTGCGCAAATTTTGTGCTGTTTTGCACAAAAAATATTATCCGTAGTAGTATTTCAAATCATCGGTAAGTGTTATTTTAATAAATTTTCAATTTTCTAATTAGTTCAGATGTTAATCATTCGTTGTAGTCCAGCAACTGGTCGCAAGATGGCAGTATGTGGAACAAAATTTCAATATAAAATCAAAACGTCGTTACTTGCAATAAAGATATTGAACTTTCGACGATATAGCGACTGGTTAAAGTTTAAATTATAATCACAATCCAGAATTTGTCCATGACCAATCATTATCAAGATTTCATAGTGTTGACATCGGTTACATAATAATTCTTCAACACACAAACACTTCCATTGTTTTTTTCTTACGTGGTGTGAGCGCACCCCTGTTTTAATCTAAAGCAATCCTAGATGCGGCCTACCGATATTTATGGTACCGCCTCGGTTGTGAAACGTGTGATCGATACGTAATATATATTATTCTATCGGACGCGCATTTTCTTGAAGAGAGCTAATTAATTTGTTGATCATTATCGTTTGTTTCCTTTGTGCCGGTTGATTAGTTAATGGCGTTTGTATTAAGTTATACCTAACGTAACCATTATTTTTTCCCTCAGAGCGGGACGCCTGTAAATTTATTATTGTTTTAAAAATAAAACACTTGTTTATATAATAGTTGCGACATATTTATAAAAATAAAAATAAAAAAAGAACTACAAATGATCAAAAATTTTAGAAAGAACTAATCTTGTGTGGTCTGGCTGTATATAATTTTCGCTATCGCGTAATTTTTTTTTTATTTGTTGTCACAATATCGTCGTCTTAGAGTGAATACCTCGTAGAAGATTTCTATATCATTTTTCAGGACCAAAATAAAAATGTGGTGTAAGCTGTGGTAAACGCAATAGTATTTGTAGTTAGCATTTTAATTAGTTAAATTATCTTCTTTAAATTATATTACTTTAACTTTAATTGAGCAATAAGTTTTTAATTTTCCTTCAACAAAAGTCAGTAAAAAACGAACTATGTGAAAACGCGTATGCGACGTTTTCACTCTAAGGCGACGATGTCCTGTTTTATCAAAGCGGGACAATGCTAAATATGTTGGGGACAGCGGGATACGAAGCTTAAAAGCGGTTTACTTAGAAGAGACCAGAGCCTAGGAGTGGAACGGATATAGCTGTTTACAATGGTGATACCCAGGACAATTTTTCACCAAGAGCTAGCAAACAAGATAGGGTAAGGGTGCCCTTTTATTCGCAACGAATTTCAAAGCGCTCAACCCGGGTGAGCGCGATCGTGCCGCGCGGCGACCGCGTGCGACTTACTGTCATGGCAAAATACGCTTTATTCATATAGCTTTTTCGTTTTAATTTAAATGAGCGTCCCGGGCACGCGGGCGAGTATGGCATGAGTTTGGTCTACGCGGCGGCCGCGCGTTTTAATTATCCAGAGGAATGCTTTTGCCTAGTAAATAGAATTCAGATTCGTCATTAATGTACTTGAAGGCGTGGTAACTGGGCGGTCGCCGCGAAAATTTTCGCCTCGTGTTGTTGGGCGCTGAAGATGTTGGTGAAATTGCAGGCACATGGGACTTATCAACTTATGTCTCAGGATGACGGGCGCAGTGGCAGTGAACCTCAGATCTTTGCGATTCAAAGCAGACACTGTAGCTGACAGCCTACCATCAGGCGCACGACTTGTCGTTCTATCTAGATATTATAAAAAAAACTTTAATTTTCCAGATGTTTCTAAGAAAGACTAATAAGAAAACTCACCAGATTTCCCATTAATATCCTTAGCCTTTAGATTGCGCGCTTTGAGAAGCGTCAGGGTCAGGACACTGTTGCTGGGATGGTAGCAGAGTGACGTCAGCAGTTCGCCGCATTTGTCCTTAGCGGGAGGCTTCAGCGCCTTCCAGAAGGATGGCTTCTCGCTTAAATCCACCTGGAAAATTTGTTGTAATATTAATATTACGTATATACAGTTTATATTATTCGTAAAATATTAACAACCTCGCATGAGTATATTACAATATATATAATAATAATAATGTCTTTATTTATCTCCACACAATACAAACAAAGTAACATTACAATAGAAAACATATTAATACATACGCCTAGAGTAATGTATTGTGGGAAACTCGAGCCCAAACTAAGCAAAGCTTGTAATATGGGTCTCCAGGCACCCAACCCCTAGGATGTCATGTTAGTGGTATTGATATAGAGAAAATATAATACAATTTATATCTAAATAATAACTAAAAGAAATTTTATGTGTGTGTGTATGCGTGGGTGTGTGATAGATAATGAATGCAAAAGATAGCTAGTCAGTTTTAACTTGCATTCGTTTTTAGAGACAGCATAAAGTGAAGATATATTTTTATTTTATTGTATAAGAAAGAGCCTAAGAATAGAAAGATATGCCGCAGTAGTTGTCGAACTAATTCTGGAGGACATATATTTTTGCGTCGCGAAGCCAGTACAAAGGTAGCGAAGGATGTCTGAGAGTGTTGTTTCAAAACAGTAAACAAAATAAGGAGCTGCCTGACTATGAGAATTTTAACGATTTGTAGAGATCAGCAATCGGATACCTAAAAGGGTAATTAATCAATGTGTCTACCAAATTTTGTTGTACTATCTGATACACTTTTAATAATAATAATAATAATAATAAATAATTTATTTGGACATCTATGGCCCACTTGTTAGTAATACAAAAAGATACAGAACATTTAAACTTAAAGCTATTGTTAGTAGGTACAATTTACGGGACAATACATTGACAAACTTACCGCTTGAGGCGCCGATAACCTCATGATCTCACCAGAACCTGGATAAAATGTTGAAGCATCGGCGCATCAAGCTTAGCCGCAAACATTTTCAGAATGCTGTTAGGACTAGAACGCAGCCTCGAGAGTAGTGACGCCTTTTTGTTTCGCATCACAGCAAAAAAGTCATCTACTCCCGCTAGAGCAAACATCGAGGATGCGCTACAATGCCGTGGCAGTCCCATCAGCATTCTGAAACAGTTATTATATTGAACACGCAGGGCGCTGAGTGCCTCCTGCGTATAGTTCACCCACAGACCACCCGTGTAGAAGGATTGACAGTATGCTTTTAAAGAGTCGAGTCGAAAGTGGCACTGCAATTGTTATGGGCAGGCGTGCAGCGTACATCAAGCGCATGTCTTGTTCGTGCCGTCACTGGACATTATAAAAAAAAAATTGCAAACTAAATTAAAGCTTTTTGAAAAATATATATCGTATACGTATTCTATTTAGTTCTGTTGATATAAAAAAATCATTGGTGTAGTAAACCTATTTAATGCAGCGGTTTCCTTGTAAAATTTCTAGGCAAGTTCGTGTTTTTTTTTCTAAATGAAATTTTTTAGGAATCGAAATTTCACACCGTATACTAATCAGTGTAGGGGAGCGTGGGGGAATGGGAGCCTACTAAGGAAAACTGACAATAAAAGTCATAATTTAGATAATTTAAATTTGTATTAGTTATGAACGTACGCTTCACATATCTGGGTACTAGATAATCACAGAAAAAATGTGAAATTAAAATAAAATATTTGGTTAAAAAAGAAAAAACTAAAACATGTTATTCGCTCTCATTACCCCACAGTTCGTGAAATGGGAGCCGGTAAGAATCCCGTATGTCAAATGGGAGCCATTATATATAATCAGTCTGAAAAAAAAATTAAAGTAATAAAATATATATATAAGTTAAAAAGTAATGAAAATAAACAAGAAAGTGTTAAAGAAATATCCAGTGAATATTGCAATGGTGTAAGGAGAGCCAAATAGCTCTCATCACCCGCGTAATATCGAATTGAAAAAGGAATAAAACAGTAAAAACATTTCTGTTTTTATTGTGATTTCAAGCATAACTTCTAAAATTTTATAGATATGGTGACATAGCTAGTGTAAATACAATGTAGTATGTATGCATTTTAATGCCTACCTGGGATGATGAAATTTAGCAAATTTTATAAGTGCGTAGCGAAAAACACACAACCCTCTCATACGACTAAACGCGGGGTTCTACGGGGGCGCCCACGGGACTCGAATCTTGTCGAACGTTAACGAAGATATAGGAGTGCCGTTTGCACAAATACGAGCATTGGGAAAGTCCAGTTTAACACCGCTCTCATTACCCGCGGGCTCCCAATACCCCACGTTCCCCTACATCCTTAATTTTACTATATATTTCTTCCGAAGTGATTGATTCAACAATTTCACTGTTATGCGGAATAAAGTAAAGCCATTTGAGGTAGTATAGATTTCCCAAAAGTTATTGTTCGCATTATTACAGTTTAACACTGAGGGTGCGATGTGTAGGTAAGTAAATTTCTTCTTCGTAATTAGTAGAGCTTTGGTGATTAATGGTCTTAAAGGAAACCCACAACTTCGGTTGTTAACTTAATTGCGTTACATCTGAAGCCGGATGATTTCACTCATTAGTACGAACAACGTTTGCTATGTAGACCTTTCTCGAATCGCGAAAAAGTTACTTTTTCAATATACATATCATAAGATTCAGTAATAGAACACATTAGTGAAATAAAACAGAAAAAAACCCCATTGTTTTATGTTAATATTTCCCAACTATTTGTAACGCGTGGTTAACTCAAAATAGTAAATAAAATTGAGCGATCGGCGCCAGTCGCGCCGCGCGACGACAGACCTGCGCTAACGCATCGCACGGTAGTTTAATACTTTGTTGTCTGTCAAATACATGAACTCCCGCGCTGACTCCATCCAATGCCCCTTCACCGTTCTTGTTGCTATAGCAACGGCGTCTGTTAATCATCGGGTATCAATATTGTTCATAATTTTTCGGAAAACTTTGAGACGACATAACTTATTTATTTGTTAAGTATTTTTATTTCCATTATACAGTATACTCCTTTAAAATGGTCCGTGGTTTTTTATCAGCCTGTTTGTATAACAGGTTATCTGATATTATAAAAAAAATGAAGTAACTAGAGAATTTGGCGGCAAGAAAAACCCTGTTGCGTATATTATTGTTCTTTTGCAAAACAGACGCAGTGATAATATGTGATAAGCAAAAAAATAATAATAGGGGTTAAAGTATGAAATTGCCGATTTGTACTGAAAATCTAAATTGTTTATTTTTTTAATTTTTAACAAATTTATTTAATCAAAATAGTTGCCATTATTATCTATACATTGCTGCCATCTAATGGGAAGGTTATTAATGCTTTGCGATAGAACTCCGACGATCTAGACTGCACAAACTGTGTGAAAGCATTTTGTACTGCCTCCTGGGAAGAAATCTTCTTGTCACGTAGATAATTGTCCAAATCACGAAAAAAATGGTAGTCCGTTGGAGCAAGGTCTGGTGAATACGGAGGATGACGAATGGTTTCTAACTGCAGTTCCTGAAGGGTCAAAATGGTTTCTCGTGCTGTGTGAGGTCTCGCGTTGTCGTGGAGCAATAATGGTGAAGATCGATTCATGAGTCGGGGCTGTTTTACTGCTAGTTTTGTCAACATGGTTCGGAGTTCGGCACAATAGACATCTGCCGTTATTGCTTGACCAGATCGGAGAAAACTATAGTGAATAACACCATGCTGAGACCACCAAACAGTTACCATTACCTTTTTATTGGTAAGTTTTGCTTTAGGACACTGTTGTGGCATTTGACCTGGGGTCAGCCATTGCATTTTTCTTTTCCGGTTATCATAAAGAATCCACTTTTCATCACATGTTACAATTCGATCCAATATTCCTTCATTTCTGTACCGGTTCAACAAGGCAACACAAGTTTCAACACGCGTTTCTTTCTGCAGATCAGTCAAATCATGAGGCACCCATTTTTCGTATTTTTTTATTTTACTGATTTGACGCAAGTGAGTCAATATTGTGGGTAAGGTAACGTTAAACCATGCCGCTAATTCCTGGGTAGTTTGACTAGGATCGGCTTCCACTATCTCTCTTAATTCATCGTTATTCACCTGTGTGGGCGGTCTTCCTCGTGACTCGTTCTTTAAGTCGAAATTTCCATCACGAAAGCGTTTAAACCAAAATCGCACGGTGCGTTCATTAGTAGACCCCTCTCCAAACGCAGCATTGATATTGCGGGCTGTTTCTGCCGCGTTAGTTCCGCGTCGGAACTCGTATTCAAAAATCACTCGAATTTTCGCAGTATCCATCTTTCTTGTCTAAATTGAATAACAAAAACAATTGAAAGTCGATATTCAAATGTTTCAAATTAAAAAAAAAAAAATCACAGAATCCATTTGAAAAAAGTTTCATTCGAAAACCTCAAACCATGAAGATTCTATGAAAATTCAAAGAACCTATTGTAATAAAACGGCAATTTCATACTTTAACCCCTAATATAACATGGTACTACTGACTTTATTTCATTGTCAGACTTACCGGCTAAATTAAATCCTATTTTTAACCCACTTCAAAAAAAAAAAGGAAGAGGTTCTCAATTTCACTGTATTTTTTTGTGTTACGCGATTACGCAGCTTGTGAGCCGATTTTGATGATTCGTTTCTTTGTTGAAAAGAGGGTACCTTACACACGCACACACGCACACATCCATCCACATTCGATTCTAGAAAACTCGGACCCACTTCGGATGTCGCTTGTGCACTAAGTCCGAGAAAATACGAAAATCGCTTGTACGCCTAGAGATAAAATGATCCCTGTGACATTTCGGACAGTCATTTCTCGAATTCGAAACTGGGGGGCTACTCTCGATCTTCGTCTGACGTCTGTCCGAAACAATTACTGTCAAATAAGTGATATTCGACAAAATTAAAAGACAAGTATCCAGTATGAAGCTTCATTCGCATCACGCGTCTTTTTATTTGGTCAAGTATTGCTTATTTGGCAGTAATTGTTTCGGACGGAGATCGAGAGTAGACCCCCTGATACGAATTGGACGTAGTGCGCGAACGCTCTAAGGGTGACAAATTATATAAGTTAATACTTACTTTAAAATACATTTCATACCCATTTAAGTTCACTGTTCAAGAGTATCTAGTGGTAAGTGCATGCCATCCATACGGTTACTTAGAGCTTCAATCGCAAAGATCTAAGGGGCACTGCCACTGTTCCAGTGACTCCGAAATATAAGCTAACAAGTCGCATGTGCCTGTGATTTCACCAGCACCCTATCAAAGTGCTACTTAGCAGTAGAAATACGTAAAGTGGCAATACTTCTTTGCACGAACTTATTCACGCTTTATTGCTATTCACTATAACCTGTTTCGTTTTTTACTCAGATGATTTCAATTAATCGTAGATTCACACAGATTTTTGCGATTTACAGCTCTGAGTGGCACTGCAACTGTTATGGACAGGCGTGTAGCTTACATACACAACGACAGTACAGGCGCACGACTTGTTCGTCCTGTCACTTGATATTATTAAAAAAAAGACAAGCGCTGAGAAAACAAATACGTATTTTGTAACAGTACTCCTTATCGAATATCCTTCATAAAATTTCATTACCGGCAATAAATAAAACCCCGTAAATTAATCCCACTTCATGTACTCCAAAGAGAATGAAGTGCTATAATTGACGGAAAAATAAATTAGAGACATTGTTGAGAAATAAACTTTTGCTAAGCAATTTGCAGCAGGCGTCAACTTTTATCTTAGAAAATTTACAAAAAGTTTTAAGGATGTTACTTGTTTGTTTTCAGTAATAAGTGATGGTGATAATAAATCATTACCTTGTTATTGTTATTATCCTGTTTTTTATTTCAGTCATTTGGCCACCCAAATGACTGAAATATAGTTAAAAAACCACTTTTTTAACTATATTTCGGGATTGAAATCAAGGAAATGCAGTACGGTGTGTATCTACGTTGATGGTTTGATATGATAAGAACCTATTTTGTATTCTTCTAACTGCATGAGCTTTCTGACAATTTGCAATCACAAATTGGAATCATAATTACATGCTTTAAGGTCATGTAGAGAGTTTCTTTAAAACATTATTATTATTATAAGAAACAGGAAAAGATACGTGCTGTATTTCATTTTTATTATGTCAACATATGGTCTGTGATGTCAATATAAAATTGGACTCTTTTTTAGAGTACTTTTCAAAGTTCTAAGCTCACGTCATTTTACATCTATACGCGAGAAACAGACACATCACAACTCTCGTTAAGTTTACAAATCATGTTCACTGTACTTTCATAGCTATTGAAAATTCAGTGAACATGAATTGTAAGCTTAACACACAAATACGATCTAATTACGTTCATATATGTTTATTAAGTCTGACAACGAGCGACTGATCAAAAATTCTTTTTATTTTGTCTTTGGTTAAGACCAAACTATGGTTGTATAGGTTTTGAAGCGTGTGAAGGAGACGTAGAGGGTGCGCCTCAAATTCGTTGCAATATATTTAAACACATGCCTTTTAGGAATAACGTATACTCTCTTACTAATCGCATGAAAATTTTACGGACCTTTGTGTTTTTTTTATCGAACGAAGTTTAGTGAATTATTTATTATTGAGATTTCTTTTGTGAAATAACTACACTAGTTTTATTATGATTCAAATACAATACAAAGGTCGAAGAAATTTTTACGTGTAAAAAATCTCAATAATACATTGATCAAAAAGCGACATCTTCGTCATTTGAGGCACCTGTAAATGTACTGGCTGCGGTGAGAAGGTTTTTCAAAAATCTCTCACTAGATGTCACTAGCAGCTAAGAATGCCGAAAACCAGTACATCTTTAACAAAAACTGGAGAAATTTGACAACTCGATAAGTTGACTTGTGGCTCAGGTGGTAAGAGCAATGCTACGGTGCAGCATGGTCTTGGGTTCATGTCCCACGTGTGAATGGTACCCTTTGGATTATACATATGGTTAAAAAACTTTATGACTTAAGAGCTCTCATGCCAAAAAAGTTTTGACGTTGGCTCCGCCCAAATTTGTGAAACAAATATATGCCTGAAGCTCGCGTGACATGCGACAGGAGATGTTGAATTTTGCGCATTAAAAGTACCAAATTCGTTTTAGCGGAATAACTCTAAAACTAAAGGGATTTAAAAAATCCGTAGTGACAGTTGTCGATCATGCATAAATATAACTAATTATCTTATTTTTGTCCTAATAACCTGTAGCATTTCGAGGATGAATCGAAAAAATGTGAAAATTAGACGTCATTTCGTGATTTTTATCTATCGAGGAAACTTTATTGTTTTATGTTTCTGATTAATGTCTATGCTTGAATATATCATGTAGTTACTCATACAATTTTATTTTTAACTTTAAAGTGGATATACCCCTCTAAAATCATTTCGAAGATTAGGAATTTTTCCTCTGCTCCCTCTTAAGAACGTCACTCTGTTCGCTCTCTGCCTCTGCCGCTCCGCCCCGTTCAATACTCGTACGTTATATAGTTTAATTTCCTATATTTTAAATAGTAATCAATTCTAAGATAATATATGAACTGCCTGTATTTGGTAAGCATTTGTATGGAACAAATGGTAATAAGAAAAATTAGCAAATCAAAGATTATTTTAGCTCTTTGATTTCCGCCGCATCACTAACCTTGTTCTTTGCATGGTCACGCCTCATGACTTCCACAGTTCTTGGCATCAAGTTATTTTAACACCACCGGGTCGAAGAAATTTTCCTAAGTGTTCGATCTTTGAATTGATAATCATAACAAAATTCAGTTCATTTATTGTTTTTCAGGCGCCATATTTAATGTCGAAAAATCGATTTTCCGTGTGGTCAACATACATCAAAACGGCCATTACATCGTGCTCATACTGGTAGGAGCACGAGGACTTATATAGGACTTGTATAGGTCATTATGCTCCTACTATCTATTTTGGGTCTATATTTGGGTCAAAATTCTTTCAATTGCTATGGTAATAAATAAATAAAAAATCAGAAGGTATACACGAGTTGAACCTTCATAAAACTGTTCAAAGACGTAATGAAATTACTTCTATATTGCTTTTGCTTGACTGTGACTGTGTAGCTTCGTAATTGGGCCTAGGGTATGCCTGAGTAAACATAATATGCATATCGATTAAGGGTCTCACGTCAGATTGGATGTTCAACAAAATCAAGGCATAAACGAACTCAGGTAGACACCCGCGTCTGACCAGACGAAGACGTAACGGGTTAGTGCGGATATCAATTTACACAGGTCCTTTGTTTGATTTGTTCAACCAACCAGTCTACGGTGAGACAACCCTTCAGACAGCGGCAGCTCTGAGTAATTTGTTTAGCAAAAGGGGTTGGATGATTTTGTATCTTTTGCTATTTGAGATTTATAGGTAAGTATAGTTTTAAATATTGTTAGCGGCCCTATCTACCTGCCACTACATGGCGTTGCATAGTAAATAAATAGTAATTAGAGTTGTGTTGGGTCGTGAAAAAAATTCTTACTTATTTATCATTACACTTAATTCAATGAAAAAAAATTTTTTGAGAAAAAAATATTGTTTTGGATATTTTTCCTCTATTTTTCCACATTTGATGTTGACATCTGTCAAAAGTTAATCTGTCAAGAGTTACTGAACGAAAACGATTGAGTCAACAATAAATGAAGGGATGTGGAGGCTTTTTTCGCTGTTGCGGAATTATTTTTCTGTGGCTTCTCGCTATACAAGTTTGTTTAAAAATTCACGCTATTTAAAATTTAAAAAGATATTTCTTAACGTAGAGCATAATATGAGCCTTTCAAACTAAATTTTTAATATTTCCGGAAAAACTTCCACTATTTGAAATTTTTCGGAAAATTACCAATAGTAATAGTAATACCGGTGACTATTAGACAAAAAAGTGGCGCTATTTGTGATTGTTAATATCAAACGTAGAATGGTAACACTAGTTTTATTTGGAAGAAAAGTTGATTTCATTGTCTATACAGGTTGCACGAAATAAATATTTAAAAAGGCGAATGAGTAGCTGATACTCGTACCGAACATGGAAAAAAACACTACCTTATTATTAAATATTTTCTCTTAGGAAAATACTACCGCGTCAATCACACATGCAGCGAGTGCCCGGCAAGGTCAAAACACACCCTTAACGGCCTCTGCGTATGCTTTCCCACTCGTTTCGCACCCCTAATCGCGTTCGTTGAAGCGCCGGCCATCCGCTACCGCCCGGTTAGTTCGCTTGCGCTCTTGTGTTAAACGGGACGTCGTCGCGTATTTGTTTTGCATGGTATATCGGTGTATTCACCTGTGCAGTTCAGTGGAGTGCAGTAATGTTAATAATGATGCCTTGTCACTACACAAATGAGGAGTATCAGTACATGATACGGTGTTACGTTATGGTATGTTATGCAAATGATGTTGTTAGTCGTGTTAGGGAGGGATCTGTACCGAGAAATTTCCGCTCAGCTGTTTCATAGAGTAGCCCAAATGAAAAGTGTATTATATGTAGTAATTGTAAAATAGCACATTTTTTTCTAATGTTTAGGGGCGATTTTTTTACAAATTTGAATTAGATATCAGCTACTCGTTTGCCTCTTTGAATATTTATCTCGTTCAACCTGTATAAGAAGTGTTTTGTTTTTAGTTTATACATGACGTACACTACCGCATAATCTCGCGGTGCTCTTGGGTTGCATTGTGTGGGGTTAGTAAAAAGTTACAATTATTTGTCTATTGTGCGATGTACATTCAAAAAATATAATTTGTAGTTTCTCGTCTGCGTTTGAATACGGCAATTGACAATCGTCCAAAGGAAATAAAAGAGAGAAATTTCTATACAAACCTGACAAAGTGGCAAGAAGACCTCTCCAATGGAGTCGTCTCTCGAGAAGCGATCGTAGTCAAAGACATGCAAGTGTAACACCTGGAACAAGCAAAGTATTTATTAATATTTTTTTGTGGTTCACTTCCATCTGAGCTGATGGAACGTGACGATGAAGTCGATGGACCTAAATAATGCCTATTCACTCTCGCCTTGGAATAGGCCCAAGTTATAGCGTTCAAGGACCAAATCTGCAGGCAGGAAATTCCAATCCCATGCTGTAAGTACCGTAACACTAAGTGCGAATCTTGGGTATATCCACAACATAAGGGCCTCTAAAGTATCTAGCCCCCCAATGATAGAAAGGTGATGGCGGAATGATTTCATGCAAAAGACTGGATGAGACTGGATGTCTTTAAGCCTAGTTTGTAAGGCAATGCATCTCTTTCTGCCGACACCAGTAGTATCATCATCATCATCATCAGGAATCCATTATACGCTCCAATGATGTACGCGAATCGCCTCTAAATTGAAAGCCTACTTTGACATTTCATTACGATGTTTTTCTTGAACGGTAGCGAGAGATGTTGCTACTAAATATTAATAAATGTATCGTAACTTAGAAATTAAAGTCATAGGTATAGGCCACCATAGGGATTTCAACCATCGACCTCTTCAATGAGAAGTTACCGTTCTCCCATTAGACTATCATCGCTCTTTGCATAGAAGAACTTAATACACTGTTCTGTTTTGATAAACAAAGTAGGATCTAATAGCGGGCCTTGGAGAACTCCTTCAACAATATATTTACGAAGTAATCATTATTGCGTGTCAAAACTTGAACACTTTCGAGCCGACCAAAGTGTTTAAGTTTTGACGCGTACGTCTATGGACTAAGGCATTACTAAATGCGGGAAAACTTAAATCCGTTACCCACCGTACCGAACTAGCAACGAGAAACCCGTGGCTAATCGATACTCAGAACATTTATCTGCAAATCTATGGCTTATGGCGCCTTCAAATTAGATGCTTGTAAAAGCGCGGCAGTGGTGCGTCTGTGACGCGACTAATATCTGGTTTAGAATACCTAGTCTTCAAAAGTGGTTGCAACTGTAGCGCTGCAGCTGCGCTTATAAATATTGTATGAAAATTAGTAGCGTCGCGGCTGCAGTGCTTCTATAAGCGTCTAATTTGAAGGTGCCCTTAATTAACATTGCGGAACGGAATGGAAGCGAAGTTTTGTAACCATCGCATATAAAGTTTTATATCAATTATGTAATGTATAAACTAAATATGAATCAAGAAACAGGTGACAGGAAAAAAAACTCGCGCAGTCTCGGGAATTCAGAATCAAATCTAGTTAGCATTGGGAGTACTAGGACTATGATATGGCAGAGATGAAGATGCTATGAAGGTGTAACGAAACTTGATAAAATCTACATCGAATACATTCGTGGCTTTGCCACTGTGAACGCGAAAACGCAGATAAGCTCCAAGAGATTAGCTTGAGGTGGTATGAACACGTGAAGAAAACCTCCTATATACATTTATACAGGAGGCAAACGAGCAGATGAGTCACTTTATAGGAGGTGGTCATCATCGCCCATGAACATCTGTAACATCAGATGAGCTGTCTATGTGTTGCCTTTGAGAGTCCTGTTGACGCGCTTTTTGAAGGACCTCAAGTCATTGCGCAAAGAAAATACTTCAGGAAGAAAATATTCCACATCTTGCAGGTTCGAGAAAAGAACGGACGTAATGCTCCAGTTTGCTTACGATGCCAGGTATTTGTGATGTTGGGGTGGGCTCTACTCTTTTGGAGGGAGGTACGATGGTGGAAACGAGACGGTGGCACTAGTTCGAGTTCCTCTGAGCACTCCGCAAAGACGGTAGATCACACACAGAGAGCCAACGTATGTCCGAAGACTAAGGGACTTCAAACGTCTGTGAGTTTGGGATCATCGACAATACGAACTGCCCTACGTTGGCTGGAGTCGAACGCATCAAACTGGTATTTGGGAGTTGTATTGGAAATGTCGTGACAGATCTGAAGAATCCTGGGTCCAAAAAATGAGGAAGACCGAAGATAAGGTGGACAGATCGTATCACCAAAGATTTGCGGAGCTGCCATGTTTCTGAAAACAATACGTCCAATAGAGCAAAGTGATAATAATTAGTATACATTCACAATTATATGGAAAAATTTTTTCAATCAAAGCCATTTGAGGTTTTATTGACTCTCAAGTCCTGATTTTATAATAAAAATGGAAGTAAATCAATTTGCTACTCCATAACCCTACAGCGAAGAATTCTTCGACCGACCATCGAGCATTCAACAGCCTCTGAGGATGCCTTGTGGACAGGCGAAACACGACGTGTCGGGTATATTTTTGGTGTAGGTTTGTGACTGTAGTTGCGCTTGTGTTATTTATTTTATTAATTTTATGCTGAGGGAGGGTGGGAAAATTAACCGCATGAAAAAATATAATTTTGCACGATTTAATCTTCAATGGGTTCGCAATTTTTTTAATCTAATAATGTGTTAAATCATGAAAGTTTAAATCAGCGACGTACCCGACTCTGCAACTTCTGTATAGGGAACCCTTCGAAATAGAATGTTTCGTTCCAGCGCGGATTTAGAGTACGCCGCTTTATCTTGGTCTCCAGGCGATGTTTCTTGTCTGGCAGCAGAGTTACCCTCACGTACGGGTCTGATGTGCCGCTTAGATCCTTTGCTGGTAGATCCTTGCCCTGGAACATGGAGGAAACAAAGCACTTAATACAATATATCAAAATTTATCATTATTATGACAACTGCCACGTAACAGTTTGGGATTAAAAAAATAGTCGACAAGGAAAAAGGATATATATTACGTAGGTAAGTAAATATCATTTTTCGCGTAAAAAGGCCGTAGATATTTGCAAAATGACAATTTTACAAAAGAGAGGCTTAAGCATCTTTAAAGATTTCTATACGACAAAGGAACACAGGCTCTCTTCTCATAGATTACCGTATCTTAGGCCTTATTCAGAATGGTGTCGGGAGCGGGTGCGGGCGCGGGTGCGTGTAAATCAAATGTACTTGCGCTCGTTGGGTTCATTCACAGTGGCCGCGCGCGCCAAGACCTGCGCGCCCCCACTCTGAATGAGCCCTAAGAGTCCTGGGATCATATCTTGCAAAGTTTTAACATTATTTTTCATTACACTTGCTCGTAAGTAGTATGATTGCATGGTGGCTAACTTGACTAAAATTGCCCCAAATAAAATCCTAGGGCCTTTTTAACCGACTTAAAAAAAAAGGAGGAGGTTCTAAATTCGACTGTATTTTTTTGTTTTTTTTTTAATGTACGTTACGCGATAACTCGCGCATTGGGAATCGGTTTTGCTCATTCTTTTTTTTGGAAAGACTACTACTATTTTCTACAAATTTAAATGAACCATTTCTGAGGTACCAGAAGTAGGTTTAAATTTGTAAAAAAATGCCACCTCTAAGGGTGGCAAATTAGGGGATGAATGACTTTTGAGGTCGCTGCTGGCCATTTGTTGAAAAAAAAACAATAAACCCGCCATATGCAAAATCCACAACTGTAGTGTTGTGAATCAAACTTACTGATACCAGAAATAAACATTGTAATTATTACAACTATGTTTTTTCTAATCTCATCCTTTTGGCCGGTTTTAATGCAGTTTATATGCAGTAGCAGTATGATGAAAACCTTTTTATAAATTTTCTGACATTTCGGCATGTGTTTTGTTTTAAACAGTAAGCAAGCTACACGCCTGTCCATAGCAGTTGCAATGCCACACAGGGCTTTAAATCGCAAAGGTCTGAGGGTCACGGCCATTGCGCCCGTCACCTTGAAACATAAGTTGACAAGTCCCATGTGCCTGTAATTTCACCAGCACCCTTACCCTTCAAAAACGGAACAGACTAATGCTGACATTACTGCGTGACGGCATAAATAGGTTAGGTGGCAGTACTTCCGTGGACGAACTCTTTTACAAGGAGCTCTACTGCTACCAGTGTTTATAATTACAGCTTTTTTTAAGACAGTGTAGAGGGTTTCTTTAAAATATTATTATTATTACAAGAACCGGGGAAATATATGTGCCATATTTGATTATTATTATGTTAGGATAAATTTGGGCTCTTTTGTGTAATAATTTTTAAGGTTTTAAGCCCACGTAATTTGAATCTATATTCGATAAACTGACATCTCACAACCCTCGTCATTATTTATAATATTCACTGAACTTTCAATAGTTAACGCACAAAATACGATCTAATTACGTTCATATAGAGCGTGTAAGGTTTATTATCTCTGACAATGAAAGAAACTCGATTGTACCAATTGCTATATTATTTTGTGTTTATTGTAATAATTCTTACGACGCCATATAGCAAAATATTGTGGGGAGTTTATATTTGCCGTATAATTTAGCAGCAGTATAAAAATATAGCACCGATATTTGTTTTTCTTATTGGAAGGGACAATGAATTGGCAGTCTGTTGCGTATTTACCACAAAATATTTCATATAAGTTGTATTTCGTCTTCTCAGAGCGAATAACTCGTATGTAATTTTTATACTATTTTTCAGGACGTCCGTTAAAAAACCGTGGTAGCTTAGTGGTTTGATCTACCACCTCTCAAGCGGAAGGCGTGGGTTCAAATCCGGGCATTTCGAAAATACGGAATTTTGGTAACATGAATAATAACGGCGCGTTATTAAAATAGTTGATTTCCGATTACCGAAATATCGAGCACTTAGTTTATTCACTAAATCAATGACTGAGTTATTATTTAGAGCGGGTAAAACCGAATAGAGTTGTAAGTGTCAGTTTTTTGGCGGGGAAGAAGTTTGGTGGTGAAATTGCACCACCTACTGTCCTGTACGAGTGTTCCTCAATTTGATATTGGCGAAGAACCTATTTGTCACTAAAGAAGGATATTCCGACTCTAAAACTGAACTTCGACCCGCGCGGCTCCGACAACATGTTACATGGACATGATTTTACTCAGATATTACGTTACTCCGACATAATGTTACTTCGACATTATTTTACTCAGACACTACGCTACATCGACAACACAGACGAGGTGTTTATTTAAAAAATCTTTGTAGTCTGATAAGAAAAATCATCATTACAAACCCATCTAGGAAATGGTTTCCTATTATATATCGATCAATATAACAAAAAAAAAAAAAACAAAATCATATAATGGAAAAATTCTTTTATTGGTTATATAAAGTGTAACAAAAATTATTACATTAAAATATAAATTTTTACTACACTATTTCATTTATGTACAAAAACCTAATTACAGTAAACAGAAAAACGAATTATTATTTTCGGGAGGGAAGAAAATTTGAAACTGCTTTTCGAAGTACAATTTTGGATAATGGATTGGACTTTTGAAATAGTATATTTTATTTTATATTAATAATTTTTTTTGTTTCACTTTATACAGAGTGTTTTTTTAATGGGACAATTGGGGAAATCCGACACAATAGAAGATACAAGAAAACTGTCTTAGAAACCATAAAGTTTTTCTTATGAAATCAATTTCGGCGTATTTTTTTTAGTCAAGCGTGGGTTGTCCATAATAATTAATAAAATTGATCAAAATTTAATTTAGTGTTGATCGACTCAGAGTTATGAAGGGATCATTTCATTGTATGGGACGAAAAAATCTGGGCAGCAGAAGTTGATCAAATTCCATAAAATATTTTTCATACAAAAGAAATAAAACATCAGACAGTAAAGTTGGCCAAATTTAATAAAAAAAATTTCATTCACAATGACTAACATTTTATTAAATTTGACGAACTCCTGCTGTCCCGACTTTCTTCGTCCCATACAATGAAATGATCCCTTCATAACTCTGAGTCGATCAGCACTAAAAAAGATTTTGATCAATTTTATGGACAATTCAGGTTTGACCAAAAAATTGTCTATGCCAAAATTGATTTCCCAAAAAAAAAGACGACTTTATGGTTCCTAAGATAGTTTCGTTGTATCTTCTATGGTTTCGGATTTCCTCATATTGTTCCGTTTTAAAAAAAAAGAACTTCCCGATCATTCCCAAATCTGCCAAGCTCTGACACATTTAATATAACTTAGCATGTTTTGCAGCAAAAAAAATTAATAAAAATTAAATCTGCCCAAATGGCAGAAAACTGCCACAAATGGTCACACTGTAATCGCAATCTCAAAGTGACATTGACATTGGCAAGACGCCTCTTGTCCAAACATTCCTTTGCTAACTTCCTTATCTCCCATTTAATTATTGTCTAAACATTTTTGTCACATTGTGTTTTATTTTTTACTTTATATCATTATTGTTTAATTGATTATTTGATTAGGTATTTTATAGCTTTAATGTTTTATGGGTGTACTATAAAATAACCAATAATTCTTTAGGTTGGTACACATTCAATCATGCTTAAAGGAAACGTTCGTACAAGAATATTACCTAATCTATGGTCGAACTTAATCAACTGTATTGTGTTCTTGCATCTAATTACTAAAGGCTTGAACTAAAACGTAAAATTATACTAGCAAAGTCCATGAACGGCTTTTTGCTGATTTTAGTTCAGCTTTCGCCATCCTTCTTTAACTATTTTGACGTTATTATTCATCGCAAGGCTTGACGAATTTATAATAAAGAACGAACAATTATCAAATAATTCCAGACACAATTAGTGACGAGGGAGTTTCTTTCAACGTCTCCCCTGTTACGTCTTTATTCCGATATATAAGTACATGCCCTGTTTTAGAGCGAGGTTGGTTATAAATAATAAATATATTAGACAACGTAACATACATTGCTCTGATCCCAAAGTAATTAACTAAAGCGCTTGTGTTATGGAAATCGGGAACAACGATGGTACCACAAACCAGACCCTGTACTCTCGTTTGTCGTCTGACATCTCTCAGAAACAATTAGTGTAAAATAAGTAATACATTAAGCTTCATACTTGATACTTGTCTTTGAATATTGTCGAATATTACTTATTTGACAGTAATTGTTTCGGACAGATGTCGGACGGACAATGAGAGTAGACCGCCAAACCCGAGACAATATAGAAAAGCTAGTTTTCTTTATTGACCCGGCCGGGGATCGAACGCGGGACCTCAGAGATGTCGACGTCATGAAAACCGATCAAGCAAGCCACGCGTCCACAGAGGTCGTCAAAATTATTGTATGTAACGTATTTCGTATTTAAGCGCGAAATGTTCGCATTACTTTCAAAAAACGAACATCTCTTATCGAGAACTTATTAAACATGTCGCATTCGTCGTCGTTTAGCTATTAACTGCTAGATGGCAGCACATTGATTGAATTTTCAATTTAAAATCGAAACGTCTTAACCTACTATACTAGGTAATGATTGTATTAAACTTTCGACAATATGCCAACAGGGTGAAGTTTAAATTATATTAACAGTCCAGTGTTTCTTATTACTCTAAATTTAAAACTACGGTCAAAGATTTTAGGGAGTTACTACGTTATAACAACTTTGTGGAGAGATTCTACCGAACAAAACCCTTTCAAATTTAATATAACCGACACAAATTTATGTTAATCGAAAAACACATTTCAGGAAAGTAACTAGTTAATAAGAAACTGGTTGTAATAACATCAATGCGTACAATATGCCGCTGAAATGTTAAGAAGAGCGTTGTTCATTGAAGCTATAACATTGCGTTTTCCCGTTGAACGAATTCAAATTCCGATCTATGTTCATCGTATTAAACCATTTCAAACCATTGCGAGAATCGCGAACACGCAAGTTTCATTTCTTCAGTGTGCTAGACTTTGTTCTCGACGTTTAGTGTTGTCAAAATATTTATCGATATATGGAATATGTGAGCACAACAGGACATGTACGCGATATACAAGTATGCATAATTATGTAATTTGAAGGTTACTTATAACTGCCACGGTGGCTGAACAGTTACCATGCTGGACTGCCATGCAGAGGTCCCGGTTTCGCTTCCCAGGCCGGGAGAAATATATGTATATACAGTTATTTCCCTCGTGAGTTTAGGTGTAATTTGTGGTTGTCTATGGGTGTGTCCCATGGCACCCGCGATACAGAGTTTCCCTAGTGCAGAGCTGTGAGCATGCAGTAATTTTGCAGCAGCAATTGTAATGATTAATGATCTACTCCATAAAACAGATGGTGGTGTCTCCATGTTTTTTAATTACATTTATACCGGCAAACAGTCCAGCGATCCAGCTGACGATAAATGGTCACATTTCAAGTCTTTTGTATATGCAATTGCGCTGGCTCTCCCTAGCTTCCAATTATTGTGAAAAAAAAATAAGGCGGCAGTGCTAATAGTGTATATCGCAAAAACTGGGAACTTATGTCCTATGTACGAGATACCTAAATTTAATAATGTTTGGCAAAAGAGTTTGGATGTGGAAATTTCCTCACATATGAAATAACTTACCAAAACTCATAATGCACCCAGGTGATTTAAGTTTACTAAAAGTGTACTTAATGCACCTAGGTGAACTAATTCAGGTGAATTAAGTTAACGCAGCCAAATCCTTGTCGATGAAATAATTAATAAAAAACCCATGCAAATCAAAAACAACTATTTAAAAAAAAATCATATGAAGGATAATATCAAAGGAAAGATCCGCAACCAAGCTATTAATTTAATTGCTGTATAAATGCAACTTTACATAAATTGATGTGATTAATTATTCTTATTTGAAATAGACAGTTTTAAATTTATTATTATTTTCATGTAAATCGTAATTACGCTATGTTTGCGTAATTAATTTGACTATGGAAAAAATTTAAATTTAAATTGTAGCCGATATGACTCCGTCAATTTTATCGACAAAGTAACAACACTGCGTGAAACCACACGTGGTTACATCGAGTTTCGATCTCGCTCATGCAAGTATCTAGTACAAGGAACTTATCGTGAGTGCACTTTTATGTTAGTAAAAGTCTGTGTTAGATTTTAATGAATGTCTTTGGAAAATTTGTTCTGCACGTTTGCCTGATAATAGTATATACAGGGTGAATTATAACTGAATATAGAACAACTGTTTATTGAGCACGTGTTTTTAAGCTGTAATTAACCTACACTGGATGTTCCAAATATTAATTTAAATGAGACAAATCGCTGTCCATAAGAGCCAATATGATTGCACGCAGGTTCTCTCATTATCCAATTGAAGTGAGGTAATTCTATTTAAAGCTTTCGGTACATCTTTGTGCACAAGCGGCTTGTGGGCGGATAATATGCAAAAGCAGTATGATGCCCTGCGTGTACAATTCAATCACTCGTTCAGTATACTGCGGTGGCTGCAAATGTACTACAGCGTTTCAGGGTTGTTCGCAGAGGCCCAGGTAGATTGTTTACACGCAACATAGCGCAAGCTATGCGCTTCCTTGGTGCGCAGGGTGCGGGCCAGCGCTAATAGCATGTTGACCATGACCGCTGGCAGGCATAATTGCGTACACTTAAACAAAAGGTGCCAATATTATAGACTATGAATTTGTAATGCAGCATATTCCCAGGGTGCGTTCGGGACAAGCACACTATTGTTACCTACAGGAATTTATCCAAGGTTCTACAACTAACGAAGGAAACCAACACCAAGTTTTAACATTGATCGTTTATTGATCGGTTTACATTAGGTAATAAATGCACCTGTTAAGTATACTAGAATTACATTAACCACGCGGGGTTACTACGCTAACTAATCTAGTGACGGCGGTGAGCTAAAGGGTAGGTTTACGGGGTTGAAGGGTGAATAATTCGCAAGGCCTGAACACACCTTGGTCATGAGCAGCCATCGCTACTCAACGCAGGAGACGGACAGGGGAGGATATTCTCCACGGTTGGGGGGAAGATGAGCAATTCGCACGGCCTGGGCACACCTTGGTCACGCGCTGCAATTACTCTGCAACAGCCCCTCATCCGCTGGAGGTTCTTACCGTAGTAAGCTCCTTCAGCGAGTGTATCGCTCGTGTGTTTGTGTGTAGGTATGTAAAAAATATGTTAAGTTTATATAAGACTATGAAACAAAGTATTTATGACATGGGAAAATATTTTGTAGGCAGGTACTGTAAAAGAGATTAAGGGTAATTTGTGAACTTTGACATTTGTGTCAGACACGCGTCAAAATATTCTGTAGAAAGTTTTTTTAAAGTGCGAATTTAAAAGAGTAAATTGATGTAAGATTTCATATATACGGTGATATGTCATTCCATATTTTGGACGCGTTGTATTTGAAGCAGCCACAGAAAGCAGCCGTTTTATGTAAGTAATTCTATGTATTAGTATAATTATGGATTATGTTGTCTTATATGAATAATTTACTTAATTTGAATTTGAATTTGTAATATAAAGCAAAAATGCTTAAAGAAAAGTTTCCTCCGTTTAGGCATTGTAAATGTTAGGTCTAAGATTAAAATGTAGCTTTACTATGATGATTGTATAATTAGGGTTCCTTTTATTGTAATTTTTATTTCAATATTATCATAGCTTCATTTACATTTGTTTTACGTGTATTATATTAGACTAAGTTACAAAGAAATAAATTTATCTTTATTTATCTTCTTTATCGGAGGATTTCTTTCCGAATTTTTTCCATACTCAAGATTGAGAAGAATGACTCCATAAAAGTTTCGTTTTTGCGGGAAACAATTTTAATAAAGCAGCTAGACGTTTTGTAATGCAGCTTACTATACAATTCAGCTGACACATGTGAACGCTAAACTGTACTTGAATATTGATAATTTCAGTACAGAGTACTAAAAAAACCTACCTCAAAAATCGTTCATAGGGGATGAACTTTGCCGCCTTTAGGGTTGAATTATTTAAATGAGACCACTACTGAGGAACCCTCTTTCCAACAAAAAAATAATAATCAATATTGGTTCACAAATTTTGAGTTATCGCGTAACATACATACCAAAAACAGTCGGTATGAGAACCTCTTCCTTTTTTTAAAGTCGGTTAAACTGTCTAACAAACTGTCAGTGGTTGACAGTTATCACTGACCATGAGACCTACAAACGGTCCGAAACATTATTTTGTTTAAAAAATTACCCAATCTTTTTACTCGTCGTTTATTTCGGGGCTTTGATCATTATTGAACATGTCAGCCTTGTTAGAAAAACAATGCCTCAAGAAAACACTGAATAAAATCCAATCAGATAAATTAAAATACTGCCTAACCAAATATGTACACAAAATCTTCGCGGCACTACCATGTTGGGTCAGACAAAATGGATTGAAATCACCCAACATAAATGTGCGAAAATCATTTAGATCCGAAAAAATAGTTTTATTTCCAACGTTTCAAATTTCCAAAAACCTAAGAACCAATCTAACTAAATAATCAGACCGCTGTGATTACGGAAACTGAGTTGACAGTTTTTTTAATATACATATGTATATATAGTATATAGTATAATAAACTACTTTTTGAGTCCTAAGTCGCATTTGTTTGTTTTTACAAACAAACCAACGTTTCGGGCCATCTACAGGTCCCATGGTCAAGGGTGACTGACCAGCTGTAAAAGGCCCAAAAAGGTGATTTATTTGAAAAAAGAAACATACGCAATTTGGATTCGAAAAAAATTTATTTATTTTCTATGTTTAAGAGATTATAATAAACAGACTCGGTAAACTGATATCGAGGTAACATTTATTGAAAGTACTTACCGTATAGATATCAACTCGGTAACTATATATAACAGCAATAAATTAGGAAGAAAAACACAGATTAACATTTAGCAATTAAGAAAAAACACAGACAGATATCACCTAAGGTACACAGATTAATACAACAGAGTTACACAAAATACATTAGGCACATTGAAATAGGACAAGTACCTACATGAAATGACGTGTATTGTCATTCGAGTATTAATAATTCTCCACCCTACTTCAAATTTTTTCGCAAACAAAGTGTAACATTTGCAGATCATAGTACAGATAAATGGTCACTAAAACATGCGGGACATTGTGTGGGACATTTCCGGGACATTGTGTAGGACGTTTACAGGATATTATGTGGGACGTTTACGGGGTCTTGTATTGGACATTTACAAGATAACGCGTGAAACATTCTGCGGGGAACTAACTAAACATATACGAAAGGCTTTACAGGATATTTGCATATACGCTCATGACATCATGTAGGATTTAAGACACTAACCTGGATGATCCTCAATATCAGAGTGGTGTTCTGGAAGTCGTACTCCAAGGAGAAGTGTATTTGTCCAACATTCTCCGACGGCTCAGAGTTGTCGATGTACATGTCCACCAAGCTGATGGACCGGTTCTGCAGGAACGCCATCTGTCAGCCCAGAGCGGAAACACTTTAACGTGTCGCTATGGACTTTTTTCGAGTTGCTCTAATTGTGTAAGTTTGAAGACATTACGATACGATAATGAGTCGAATCGTGTCACGATTTTTGACGCAAAAGTCGTGACACAATTACTTTTGTACCGATTTCGTATTTTGCTAATTCAAATTTTAGCAACATTACTCAGTGAAATGATCTCGTACTTTTACTTTTTTACTTGTCATTATAGGTTATTAGACACACTTAATTTAGGGGCATTGTCATTGTTTTATATAATGTCTTCAATCTCATTTTTGTGCAACTCACTACGTGTCCTTAGCTAAAGAAGTTTCGAAGTGAAAATATGTTTAAATCTATTTCAAAATAGTTTGTTATTTCTACCCCTAGAGTATTTACTCATTCTTCTCACGGGATAGTGTTTAATTAATGTGACCAATTCAAGTATAATTTAATTTTATTTATCTTCGAAAGACTAACAAACTCTATTATTTTGGTTAATTTTTGCATAAAATCAATCATCCCTAATACGAAAGGGTTTTGTCGCTTAATAAATGGGAAAGTTATAGTAAATTGAACAATATTAAGCAGATATGAACCAATTTTAAAACGTCATACCGGAGTTGCTTTAAACATACTTCGTCCAAAAAATGAATTAACATATCTCTTGTAAGTAGCAGTGTCTCAGTCGTTGTCGACATTCAGAACAAAATTTGCACAATGGCTATTTGACTTATGCGTTGTATTGTATTGTTCTTTACAATTCGGTGTCTTACTAATTTGACATTCCGCATGTTTGGCATTCTTTTATTCTGGCATAAAGCACGGCTTTTAATTATGGTCTTAAAAGTGAGCGTTTCGCGAAGAGAAGATGAGCGAAGTCGAACTTCAATAATCTTTATTTTATAGGTAAGCATATTACAATTGAAGTCGTCATATTGATTAAATTCTACTGCTCATTCGCAAGGCAGATTCCCCTGAGAAGAATGAGTCAGAAATTCTAGGGGTTACTTACTTTGTAAATAAATGTTTGTACATATTATCATGTTCAATATTTATTTTAGATCGAGATCTGCAAGAGCTAGACGGGGCACTGCCATAAATAAACCTGTAGTGTAAAGTTTTTGTTTCTCTATAGTTTCAAACCTTGTGAATGGCAAATTTTCAACTAATTTCAACCAGAATCTTGTTATTGACTTTGATGACTGACAGTCAAGAACAGCCGGTTATTGTTATTCCTCATATTAGGAGTCGATACGACCACATCTCGAATTCAAATTGGTTCTGTACTGATACGGTTCATTTTACTTTATTTTTACTTTTTTACATTTTACTTTTTTTAGAAAGCAAATTAATAATAATAATAATAACACACACACTCAACATAGCCCCGCACTAGGGAAACCCTGTGTCGCGGGTGCCATGGACACACATATAGACAACGACAAATTACACCCAAACTCACGAGAGAAACAAATGTAGGTCATACAAATATTTCTCCCGGCCCGGGAATCGAACCTGGGACCTCTGCGTGGCAGTCCGGCATGGTAACCGTTCGGCCACAGAGGCAGTTAAATTCAATATACTATACGTGTTTTGTTTAGTTCAGTTGATGTAAACAAATCATTGGTATATCGCACTGTTAATACAATAGTGTATTAACTCAAAAAGAGGACTTTTCAGAATCGATGAAAAACGAATTACTCGCTTCCCGTAAAAAAAATATTAAAATTTATATGTTATACTTTATTATAGACACATAAACAATTTCTCAAATGTATTTTTAAAATAAAATGGAAAAAGTAATTTTATGTTTTTTAATTAAGATTATTTTGGCCAGAACTAGCTCACATAAAGTGTGTCTCTTTTTGAGTTAAGTAGATATTTTTTGATTGTTTCTTACAATATTCTAACAACGGTTTTTTTGACGTGTAGAGAATCAAATTTTACGTTCAGTAATGATATAATATTAAATTTCACATATTTTGAGTTACAACACCATTGTAATAGCAGTGCGATATGTAAATTACCTATTGAATACGGCGCGGGCGGTTCTCTTGTCAAAAATTTTAGTTTTTTTTCTATCGTGAAAATTTTTAGGAATTGTGTTTTCACACCGTATATTAATCAGTGTATATCCACAATTTTACTATATAATTTTTTTTCAATGTGATTTGATTCAACACTGTCAATTTTCACTTATATATTTGTCACTATTTTTCATAAAAATATTACAATCTTGACATAAATTCAATTTTCATAAATGTACTGTGTGCCGCCTAGTGTAAGAATGTCAATTTCTTTCTCTTTTATCAGTGAGGGCTATGTAGTACGTATGTATGATAAACCTATGTCGCTTGTTTATTTTAATACTAATTTGTATTTATATTGTCATATATCATATATAGTAATTTTGATTTATAACATTTTTTGTAACACTAATCTACGAATTTGGAGTGATAGTATCTGCTTGACAAGTCCTAATGGTTTATATAATATTGATATCATTTGGAAAGGCGAAATCTCTTCTTGGGACATGTACTTTTATCAATATTTTTAGTTACAACTAACACTTCGAAACTTCTTATAATGTAATCGAAAAACCAGAGCTGTAATACAAAATAATCATTATCAAATTGAAAAGTGCGTCTATTTTACAAAACTTCAGCAGAAAACCTTATTGTATTAAAACTTTATGCAATAAAAATCAATAAAATATGCAATACTGTACAATCAGCGAAACCTTTTTAGGAAAAACTTTTTACTAAGCAATAAAAATAAGATTTCAAATTTGTCATTATGACGCTTTGAACGTTCTTCCTGAAAAAGCTCGAAATAATCGATGTTAAGTCTAATAAATGAGGTTATTAACTATTTCTAACTATAGGGGTTATATGATATGCACTTTTATTTAAAATATCGGTTTTTGATTTGTAAAATAAAGTGAAACGAGTCTTCTTTTGTAAACTTCATCTCTTTTCCAGATTATCAGTTCTAAGTATATTGTCATCTTTTTTATATTAATGGCGGATGAAAGAGACAAGAACATTCTTGTTCTTTTGATCATGTATTTAAATGACTTCTTAATAACGATAGACCTTACACCTTGTCTCACTTTACTTTGTAAAAAATCGTTATCTATTTATTCAGATTGTCTAATTAAACTAAAAAAAGGTACTGCAGTTAGTGCTAACTGTCACTAAACTAAGATGACCTAGCGTGTTCTACTTAGCTAAATACTAATTTTTTTGTGTTAAACACATGTGGGGTGTTTATTTAATGTTGCAAAAAACACTGTTTACCAAATTTGTTTTGTAGTAACAATTTATAAAAAGAAAATGTAGTGATAAATCTTCCAGCATTATAATGGCGTTGAAACAAAATAAATAAAATGCAGTAGAAATAAAAAAAAACTATTTTATCAAAGCTCTGGAATTCTCTTTGACTCTCGTAAAGTGCCTCTAAAATGATGAAAAAAAAGTATATACAAAAATGAAAATTTAAGCTTTACAGCAGTTTTAAAGCTCACGCAATTAAAAAAAATTCAGTTCAAGTTAAAAACTTTCCAAAAAGCCTTTCAAAAATCTGTAAAGCATTGTTTTCTATTCTCTTATTTTTTAGAAAATCCTCTATTTTGTCATATACAACCTCTTCTACCTACCATTTTTGATGGAGAGAGCATGGAAAGGGAATCCATAATTTAGAAAAGAATTTTCCACAAAAAGAAACTACACAGTAAAAAAAAGGACAGTCGGAAGAGAACTACAAAAAAACTATAATATCCAGTTACACTAAATTACAAAAATAATATTCGTTTTGCGGTAGGCACTTTTTAGTCTAAAGACGGAAAACTACTATTTCTACTTAACACTTATGCTGTTCACGTATATGTTTGTACAAAGATTAACATAATAATGTATGTGTATTATTCGTGGTTATTCAATACATTTGTTCAAAAGTACACTTACGAAGACAATTAGATTAACTTAACAAATAAAGTTACATTTAGTGTATCTACGTAACAATATACTATACATATAGTTTTATATAGTTAACAATAATATACTATGATAACATCTACTTTGATAATGTAACATCAATGTAATGTATTGTTTAAATTACTTCATCAAAAATTATTACACGTCATTATAAATAAAATTCTGGTACTTCTCGACTTTTCCAAAGCGTTCGATTTGATTACCATTTCTCAATTTATTCCAAATTGAATACAATGGAGTTAAAAATTCGAGGCTTTGGAGTGTTTCAGGAGTTTACATTATCAATCGCATTTAAGAAGTAAATTTGTCAAAACCCGATGGTATTTTCCTGTCAGTTCAATGTGTTATCGACAGGGGTGAGTCTCAAGGCTTGAAATTAGGACCTATATCTAATAATTGTTAGACTAATGTCAATACTATATGGCACGCCGTACTATTAGTAGTATAGACATCACCTGCCAGATGTCGCTACCAAAAGTGGTAATATTATTTTTTACTCTGCTAACGAAGTATACTTATAACGTTGTAATGATTAGAAAAATTAATATTCGGTTCGAAAATTGGAGGTTTTGAGTTGGGTAATTTTGCAAATGTGTCATTTAATGGGAAACTGGCCACCACAGCTCCGGATATTACTTCCTAGATCGTGTCAACTAAATTTAGTTAATATCCCAGCTAGGATCATACTTTTTGTGTATGGAGCGCAATCGCAGGACTCTTTTGTATATTGAGAACATTATACATTACCATTTGTATATATCTCAAACGTACATAAAAATATTGTACCCTACAACGACTTACTACCACACGTCGCAAAGTGTGCACAAAAATTTGCTTTCATTCGTCTCTCTTCCCAATGAACCGCTGTTACTGACATTTTTGCCGTAACTAAGTAAGACGTAGAATCTTACTATGTTTTCAAAAGCAAACATTCTCCACTATACGTGTTCTGCCTTTTTCATATACAAATATAATTTATTGACACAGCGAGGTTG